TCTATCTATCTATCTATCTATCTATCTATCTATCTATCTATCTATCTATCTATCTATCTATCTATCTATCTATCATCTATCTATCTATCTATCTCAATCATCTGTCTATCTATCTATCTATCTATCTATCTATCTATCTATCTATCTATCTATCTATCTATCTATCTATCTATCTATCTATCTACCTATCTATCTATCAATCTATCCATCTATCTATCTATCCTATGTTCTGAGATTCCAGGTGTGTATGCCTGTGACTAGTTTATGTGGACCTGAGGATGGGACCAGAGCTGTATGCATGCTAGACAAGTACTTTAATAACAGAGCTACACCTCTAGACTTAACCCTTTCATTCATATGTTGCCTCTTTTCCAGCTGGACTTAGGTTTTTTTAATCTACAGTGAGACACCTATACTTTTCTTCTTGGCTCCCAGATGGACTGAGAAGAAGAGTAAGGCCTGGGATATATCCTGTGAGGATCCCAGGTTGAGACACACAGCCCTGGTTTTAGGGCTACCTGCTCTCTTACCCCAATGTGGCAAATTTCTTAAGTGTCTCACTTGCTAAGTGAGATTAGTATGTTATAGCCTTAAGCCAGCCCCCTCCCCCTACCCAGATACTTTTTAATGATGAATGTGAAGTTATCAAATTATAAACTCATCAGAAAGCAGAGGTGATTGATAAAGAAAGGACATTTTGTATTTAGGTAAATTCTACTTGTCAGCATTCAGACTTTGAGAAAGGAAAGGGAAGAGTCAGACTTGACAGGAGTCTTCAGATAGCTCCTTATGAGTCAGGTTTCCAAATAACTGCCCTAGAGATACTGAGAAAACCCACTAGATTCTCTAAGTCTCTGGAACTTAATTTCATAATGAAATTGATTCCTGGAGAACTCAGCCCTTAGCATAAGAGAGATGGGGGCTTATCTTAATTATAAATGGATAAAGTTATAGCTGCTTCATGGAGTTGGTGTTAGAAGCATTGTGTGGCAATGTGTATATAATGCCTGGATGCACTTTACAGGCAGCTAGGTACTGAACCAATGGTGGCTATTGTAAAAGTCGCTACTACTATCATTACATTGTAAGAGCTACAAATCAAGAGTTTCTGGATGCTACCTTGTTTCAGTATGCAGAGTCTTCCTCACCTTGTACTTCCACTCTTCTGCCCCATTTCACATCACATCCTATTTTCCAGAGGTACAGCTGATTTTCCAGTCCGAAGTGCAACCAGAAGGGCCCAACAAAGCTATCAGCTCCTGTGTATCTCTTTATACCAAGGAAAGATGAGGAATACAAAACAGAGGAGAGAGAAAGGGGGGAGAATCAGGAGTAATGACTAGGGCAGGAGAAACACAAAATTATAAGAAAAGAAAACACAAAACAAAAGAAATAGTGTCTTATCATTGTGGTGGACTACTTGACAAGAGGCCACTTAAGGGCAGGGGGATTGATTTTGACTCAGGTTTGAAGGGATGCAGTTCATCACAGCAGAAGACATGGTGCTGGCACATGAGGTCATTTCATATCTGCAATTGGGAGTAAGAGAGCTTGGACCAGAAAGAGCTTGGGTTATAAGCTGTGTGATACCCCCACACCAGTTTTGCTTCTCAAGGGTTCCTCACTTCCTAGAAAACCAAATATTCAGAAACACAGTCTCTGAAAGCATTCTGTATTTGAGCAGTAACAGATACCCATGGCAAGAAACTGTGTGCTCCGAATCACTCACCTCTTGATTCTCCATGGCAGGAATGTAGGAAGAAATTTAGTGATACTCTTGTGTCTGTCTTTGGAATCTCTTCCTGAAGACAGCATGGGGAGTCTATTCAAGTTAAGGTCAACAGTCTCTCCAGGTATTTTTGTGGCAACTACTACCCAGAATCCCAGGGGATGCCCAGATTCTCACCTGTCTTCCTAGGTTCTGTTAGTCAAGGCCAAGCTTTTCCAAAGCTCTAGGTTGAAAGCCTGGATCACACCAACCGTTGCTAGGAGCTGGCTTACAGGCTGCTCTCCCAAATGCCCCCCCCCCCTTGAGCCCTGGAGTCAGTTCTGCCTGCTCGCATGTTTCCTGGTTGGTGGAGTTTGGGACTGGCAGGAGTGTATCCTGGTATACCAGAGTGGGAACCAGCTTCTTGATGAATCCCCAGCCAGCTGATGCAGCTGCTTTCCTAAGGAGGGAGGGGGCAAAGCCCACCGAAGACGATAAACAGAGTGTGTTTCTATTTAATGGCGCTTTTCAGTGGAAATTGGAGAAGCAGTAAAGCAGGCTGGGGCCTCGCTGTACACCAGAGCTCGTTGGTGCTCCACTTCATAAATAAGGGCCCTGGGTGTGGTTATGGCTCATTGGCTTTCTGCAGGAAAGAGTGAACACTAAAAGTGACCGATCTGACAGGGCAGGGTGTTATCATAACACCAGACAGGCTTGAATTTAGCATGGAGGGAGTGTTGGGCTCCCAAAGAGTCAGAGGTTTGCTTCACTCTGCCTTGCTTTTGGTGTTGCGAAGTGGTTAGGAGTATGGAGCAAGCCCCCTTGCAGCTAGGGGCTGCGGACTGACAGGCAGTCCTGGGAGCATCCGCACTGGGAGCTTATCAGAAATGCAAATGAAGGGACACTGCATAGCCAATCAGAAATCAAAGGGGTGAGGCCTTAAGATCTCTTTAAAATCCTTCTTGATGCCCCTTTTGGGAGCTGCTGCAGGACTCTCCCTTAGAGTCACAGATAATAATTCCAAGGATGTCTCTTGACTACCATATAGTTATTCTGAAATATCTAGGACTTTGGTTGAGCTTTCTAATCATTTTGTGCCTCAACTTAAGAAAATCAGGGTAGAAGGATTAAATGAATGATTTTAAAACTATCAGAGTAGCGCTTGGCCTATACACATAGTAAGGGTTAGTGGTAACTTTATTAATTACTCTATAGTGAGTACCTAGCACCTGGGAAGAACCTATGTGGTAGTTAGTGAAAGAGAAGGTTTGTCCCCTGTTAGGTTTGAGTACATTTGTGTTATATTAGTGGGGATTTTGTAGTTTCGCCCATAGACATACTCACTTGATATAATTTGGGAAGATAGAGACAGGCACAGTTAGCCAGGAAAGGGGGTTTCCTTCATTTCTGCAGGATGTTCCAGAGCACTGAAGACCACCAAGACTTTGCCTTTGATCTGTTGAGTTCTCTCTGCTCCATCTTCTTCCCCCCCTCCTTGTAGGGCTCATGGGCCAGATGCGATGATCCTCGTGGATGGGCAGCCACGCCAGGCCAAGGGGGAGCTAGGGCTCTCTCAGATGCTCCACATCGCCAGTCAAATAGCCTCGGGCATGGTGTACTTGGCCTCCCAGCACTTTGTGCACCGGGACCTGGCCACCAGGAATTGCCTGGTTGGAGCCAACTTACTGGTGAAGATTGGCGATTTCGGCATGTCCAGAGATGTCTACAGTACTGATTACTACAGGGTAAGTTGACTTTCCCAGCTGCAGGACTCAGTTGCCGAGCTAATGCCTTGCTTACATGTCTGTCATTGTCCATTAACCCTGTCACTATGGTGCACATGTATGCACACGCATGCTCACATATGCACTCAACAATTATCTTTCAGCCACTCCTGCATCTTGGCATATCAGCTTATTATTATCATGGCAGGCCATTCCTCCTTCCTCTTTGACATTAGGCAGGACTCTGTCTATACATTGCAATAACCTGCACATTATGTTCTTACTGAATCACTGTTCATTCTTTGTGTAAACAGAGTTGAATACCTATAGCTATTTGTTCAAATGCACACCCAGACAGTCTAACTTGGTGCTACATCAATAGTCCATCCTATCCCCTAATGTAGCCTCACTCACAACATGTTTTATTCTTGAAATTATCTCATGATTATGTGAGGGTGATCTCGTTTCCAAGGATAGATCTTTCTGGAAAGTGGAACCCAAAGTAAACTAGAAGTGGCCAGTATACTACTAAACTTAATCTTACTGGCTTTGGGAAATGAGAAAATAAAGCATCTTGTTAATTTCTGGCTTTGGACAAAGCATGACCCTACAGAAAGGCTGATTGTGAGGAGGTTCCATTTGCATACAGTTACCTATCTCCTGCTCCAAGATCTTATTTTACTTTGTGGGGAATCTCCTCATAATAGAACACTGACTTTTTCTATGTTCTTATGGCAAGGCTAAAGGTGAGTGGCCATGAATGTCACTTTTCTTAGAAAGAGAAACATGGGTACAACTTGATGCCCACAGATGGGGTCATGTCTGCTAACCAATTGGTACACACCTCTTTCTGCAATAAGGAAGATTTATGTTGCCCATAGTGGCACTCCACCTGGGATCTCCGGAAATGGGAGGTTGAAGCAGGTGGATCTAGCGTTTAAGGCCAGTCTACACAGAGATACCTTGTCTCAGAAAAAAAAAAAAGGAAAAAAAATTAAAATATGGAATACTTGCTTCGTCACTTTGACTAAGGCAGGAGTTTAGATTTGTGGTCTAGGAGACAGAAGGACAATATTGTGGAGCAGAGAATGTCTTCATCTGTGACACTTGAACAACATATACCATAAGCCATGGAGCCTATGATAATATAAGAATATTTCTCCAAGTTCCAGAGGCTCAGGCAGCTTCCATGTCTAGTGAAGGCTGGCTCCATGGTTCATAAATGGTCTTCTTGTGTTATCTCATGGTAGATAAGGCAAAGGAACTCCCTAAGGTCTCTTCTGTGAGATCACAAAATCTAATGAAGGCTAATGGTCTAATGACCTCTAAAAAAATTCTCCTTCCAGTCCTAAGGGCATTTTACTGCTAAGAATCAAATGTTTGTTTGATCTTGGGGACAAAGAAAACATAAACTTTCAATTTGTAGCAGGAGCATGGAAGCCAATTGTTTAGTCATGATAACAAACAAGTAATCACATTGTGAAGTCTGACGATCCTGTTGCCTGAGCTTGGTAAACCAGGAGGGTGGCATTCTGGGCTGGCAAGGACATACTTGTTAGATTTATTTGGATGCTCCTGGTGATGTTGTGGCTCATGATTGATCACTCAGGTATCGGTACCGATTTCTCAAGGAACTTCACTTTAGTAACAGTGCAAAAGAAAGTGGAATGTTTTAGAAATGCCATTTATGACTGCAGAGTGGCTTACATGGTTCAACGAAAGGATGGCAAATGATGTACTACCATGAGCACACAGGAGGCTAAATAAACCAGAGCTGGTTAAAGCAGAGTATCCCCAGCAAACTGGCCAACTTTAGCCACCCACACTACCAAGCATCCCAGACACAGGAAGGGGAGCATGGTGTAGCACACCCACAGGCTGATGGTCAGAGAAGACCTATCAGGATGTACCAAAGCACAGTCTTTAGCATCTAGACCCTTCTCCCCACCAGGCATATCCAAAGCCTGGATGTGGTTACTAAGCAAGTCATGGGTCATAGAGCCTAGCTGAAGTCATTTAATTGCCTTCCACTCGACATAGGAGGGCTTTCTGTCTCGCCTGGCTAACCTCAGATCTATAGTGGTGCTGATGAAAGAAAGGGATGGCTTACTGTGTTTTGTTTGTCTGTTTCTGTGCAGGGGAGATAGTTGGTCATAATTTCCTGGTCTCTCTGGACTCTATCAGGCCTTAGAAAACCATATCAGACCAGAATATACAAGCTGAGCTTTGAAACTGGCTTCCTGGATTGCTCTTAATATTTCTTCTTTGGTTTAAAGGTTAATACACACACACACACACACACACACACACACACACACACACACACACACACACACACAAAGAAGCACTATCCAAATGGTATGCTTCAGCTTTGTTTTCACAGCCCTTAGCTTCCGTCTACTCTTGGCAAAGTATCCAGGAGTAAACCCATCTCATTTCTTTGAGTGTGAGGGCAGATTTAAGGAAGTGAGGTCAATGGGAATTGTCCAAAGTCCAGATATCTTGAGTTCTCTCTTCGTGAGGTCTAAGTCAGGTTGTTAGCTGAGGCTTAGACACTTGAAAATGTATGTCTTTGGTTCCAAAGAAGTATGAATTAAGGAAGGATAGCTAGTTGAGAGAAAGGTCAGCACTGCTGGTGGACTGTATCTACAGTGGCCACACTCAAAGATCAGATTGGATCACCTCTCTATACTTGTTAACTCACCATGCTTGATGTATGCTTACACCCCCCGACCCCAAATCTTTTGAAAAAATGAAAGGCAGAAGTACATATGCCTGAGGTCACACACACACACAAATGTCCCTAAAGTCTCAGCCCCTTTGGAAGACATTGATGTTACTAAAGAATTCTTGGATTTGGAGCTAATGTCCGCTCTGTTCACTCTCTAATGTTTAGTCACCATCAGCACCATGTGCTCACTGCCTCCCTTCAATTTTCTTTTTTGAAAATTAGGACAAAAATATTTACTCAGCGGAGGTATGTTTATGTTAAGCAAGTTAGCTTGTGCAAAGAGCCTGTAATGCAACACTTTCTAGACAAACTATTGCCTTCACGGCCTCCTCGGCACTCCTCACACCCAAAACAAGAATGCTGTGGAGATAGTCTCATTCCCAGATGAGATTCTTGGATCAGAAGGAGGAACTCCTGACCACTGGAAAATAAACTAGACTCATAGAGCTGCCCCAAAGGAGTAGGGTTAAGACAATCACCTCAAGGAAAATTCCTTCCTGAGGTTTCAACTTCCACAGAAATAGTGGGTCATCTGCGCTGCCCTTCTTCTGGCCAGCGTTTATATGCCCTTGCTTCCAAATCATAGAGCTATGCCTACGTTTGAGAGATTTATGTAAGACCTTTTTGTTCAGTATACACTGGCTAAGGCCCCAAGGAATGTGGTGATTTATCAGACAGACAGAACACCATGAAGGATGCTCTCTGTTAACCCAGGTCAAATTTGTGCCGCTCTACTATCCTTGATTACTAGGACTAAGAACTTGCTGACTACTCACCTTGGTGACTAATGCAGATAAACACAGATTGTGTGTGTGTGTGTGTGTGTGTGTGTGTGTGTGTGTGTGTGTGTGTGTGCATGCACATGTGCATTCATGAACATGCCTGTGTGAATGTATGTAGGCATCTGTCAGCCTGGGTTTGCTTGCTCTGTGAGGACTCTGGAGTGTACACAGGAGGTCAGGAGGAGAGGCAGAGATAAAGTCCTTCTTATATTTTTCCCTTTTCATTTTTAATTTCTTGAAACAAAGAGGCGCCATCTGGCTCATACATAAGTGGTATGCAAATGATTTACAAAGGTGAACTGCCAAATTTCCTGTTACACATTTAGATTGAAAAAACAAACATGCCCGCATCAAAGCAGTGGAGCAATTTCTTCTCTTCTTACAACGGGCTGGATGGCAGCCACCTTTTCCTCCCGTGGCTCATTGATGCTTCCAAGAGTGCCTGTAAATGGGCTTTGACAAAGGCTAGTTTGCAGATACCATGATTCCTTTCTTAGATCTTCAGAGAACTCAGAGAGATTGGTGATCAGATGTCGAGTTCAATAAAATCTCAGACATCCTGAAGAGAAGTAGGCTGAGACTCTAGAGCAGACATGTTTTCAGGTTTATTTACTGGGGAAGGGGGCAGTTTACTGAGATCTGGAAGGGATAAGAGTGGAGGGGATAGATGCTATGATCCAGAGAGAGCCCAAAGTAGAGTTGTTCTGTTGTTCCCTGTGCTTAGCTTCATACCTGGTATTCTGTAGAGTTAACAAAATTATCAGTGAAGGACCAGTGTGTGTTCAAGGTTAAGCAGGAAATGGATTAGACCAGACCAGGAGCCCACAGGCATTCACATACCTACTACCACTGTGAAGCGATCCTTTGGCGATCATGATCAAGCATTTTCTAAACATGTAGATGTAGCATCTGGGAAGAATGTCCTGAGGAGGCAGGAGAGTTGTGATCTGGATTGTCTGAGTCTGGGATGTGTACTTTAGGTTAGAAGTGGGGTTCTAATCATAAGGTAGGTCTGATAGCTGGTAATATGACAGGAGATTCCAAACTAAGAGTTCTGGGACCAAGTTCTCAGCAACTCTTGGGCATGTTAAGAACAGTAATCCATAGAACATGACAATAATTTAGGGCAAGATGATCTGGTAGCAGAATAGTTCACTCTACAGGAGTCACAGTACTCCTGACAATGCTGAAAAATGGTAGGCTCTCTGTTTGAATCTCTGCCCCTAAAATACCTGTATCTGACCTTGGGTAAGTTATTCATCCTTTTTGTGTTTCCAATTGTAAAATTGGGCTAATGGACCCCAATGTCTGCATTTACTATAAAGATTATGAGTTAATATATTAATATATAAATACTTAGTATATATAATATATGTCTTAGGATGATAAAACAGCTTAATAAATATTAATTACTGTTACTATTGTTAGAGCTAAAGTACAAATGCCTTCTTTATTCTGAACAAAGAACTTAACAAAGGTCTTATCTACCGTAGGTGGATCACTGTAAC